AGGTCTTCAAACAGATGCTAAATCACCGTCTGTGGAGCATGTTGTGAAACAATTCTTGTCAGCTAAGGAGCTTAACCAGATGGCCTGAGAGGCACTATTCATAAAAGTCTGAGATTCTATGAGTTTAGGGTGCCCTATGGGCAACTAGGTGGCACAGTGACTAGAGCGCCAGCCCTGGAGTCAGGAGGGCCTGAGTTCAAATCCGGCTTCAGACATTTACTAGCTATGTGACCTTGGGCGAGTCACTTAACCCCAATTGCCTAAAAAAAAAAAGTGGTGATGATGGTAGTCATACATACTCAGGAGAAGGCTTTTTCCCACTGTCACACATGACAATGGGCTGTATGGGTGGGGAGCCTACAGCCAGGAGGCCACGTGTGGCCCTCTAGATCTTCACGTGTGGCCCTTTGACTGAATCCAAACTTCAGCAGAACAAATCCCCCTAATAAAAGCATTTGCTTTGTAAAACTCAGACTCAGTCAAAGGTCGCAACTGAGGACCTAGAAGGCCACATGTGAGCCTCCTTTTCTGGAAGTATCCTCAGCTGAGTCTAATGAGAGGGCAAGACCTTCTCACTGCTTAAAAAAGCATCATTTTCCCTTGTAGAACATAAGCTCCTTGAGGGCAGGAACTATTTTTCATTTTTGTCTTTGTGGTTGTTTGTTGTTTTGTTTTTTTTTTGTCCTTCGTTTCTGAAAAGGACCATGACATCAGGAAGGTGATGCCATGATTTGCAAGTGAATTAGATTTAAGGGAGGTTTGTCTCTGTAGCCCTAGAACCTAGCCCTGCATATACAATTACTTAGTAAATGTTTGTTGAACTAAAATAAATAGCGGGCTCCCAAAACCAATGATTTTTTTTAATCCACAGTTTTTATATTCTCCACATTGCCCTTCCTTCCTGATTAAGCCTGGATAATTTAGAATTCATTCATATTTAGCACTGATTTTTAAGTTGCTTTGTGAGAATTTGTGTGTGTGTGTGTGTGTGTGTGTGTGTGTGTACACACATGCATGCAGACAGACATACACAAACAAATATATGCATGCAGGATTATCTCCACCTGGATGGCCTGCTTCGTGCCTCAAACTCAATATAGCTGCATTGAACTAGGAGTCAGGAGTCCTAGGTTCAAATATAACTATAGTATAGCAAAAAGAACACAAGATTCAGAGTCACAGGAAGGCAGCGTGGGGCAGTGCCAAGGGAAGTAGATTTGGAGTCCAAAGACCTGCTCTTATTACCTGAGGGACGTTGTACAAGCCCCTTTCCCTGTCTTGACCTGGCTTTCCTTATCAGTAAGATGAGGTGATCTTAATTAAAGGTACTTCCAGCTCCGACCTTCTAGGCTCTCAGTTGTAAGAATACTGGACTTGTAGTCAGGAGAAATTTAGATTGAAATTCTAACTTCAGCATTTACTAAATGTATAAATATAGGCAAGTCAATCAGCTTCTCCGAGCCTCAGTTTCCTCACACGTAAAATGGAGATCTTAATGCTTAAACTATCTACCGCATAGGATTGTAACATTACAGGATTGGAAACATTAAAATGATGACAGAAAAATGAAAGTGTCGGGGGTTTTTTTAATTATTATTCCAGCCCTGACATCCTATGCTCTTTGTTCTAAGACCTCTTCCAGCTCTGACATTTTATGTTCGAAGAGCTCTTCCAACTCTAATATTTTAAGTCTTGGCTCATTCCTCGTACTCTTAGCTCTTACAATATGTGATCAACTAAGAGATTCTCAGAAACAGATTTTGTCCTGCCCTGACAGCAGGCCAGCTCTGCCCTGTCTCCCCAGACCTGATCAAGAGCGGGGTTATTGGTGACCAAGGCTGTCCTTATTTCAGGTCCTCTTGGGCTGGGGGGAGCAAAGGCAGAATCCCGGAGGACTCTCAGGAGCTGGGAGGAGGCGGATGATGAGGTATTGATAGAGGGGCAGGGCTCAGACCCAAGAGCTGGGGACCTGGGGAGGGACGTGGGTCAGCAGATCCGGCACTCATCCGTCCAGGATGTGAGCTAAGACCATTGATTGTAGTGATGACTCCTAGGGGAAGGAGAGAAGGGGCCAGGACAGGCAAAGGGACTCAGAAATTTGGGTGCCAGCCAGCCACAGCCCCATCTGCCTTCAGGCCTGGGGGAAGGAGCCTCCAAGGCAGATTCCAGGTCATGGAGGACCAGGAAGACCTCTCTCCCGCTGCAGTGGACGAAGCTCTCAACCAGCTTGTTGTTAGGTCATTTCAGTCATGCCCGACTCCTCGCAACCCCATTTTGGGGTTTTCTTAGCAAAGATACGAGAGTGGTTTGTCATTTCCTTCTCCAGCTCATTTTACAGAGGCAAACGGAGTTAAGTGACTTGCCTGGGGTCACACAGCCAATAAGCATCTAAGGCCAGATTTGAACTCAGGTGTTCCTGACTCCAGGCCTGGCGTTCTTCTTCTCAACTAGCTAGGAAGGGATATTCCAGGAACTCCTCACCCAAGCCCAACACAGGGCAATTGACCCACCATTCTGCAGCTTTGCTCCCCTGGTCACTTCTCTTTGTGGACACTGTCAGCTCTTCTGTTTTATTTATTTATTTGTTTATTTTGGACACATAGAATCATAGGATCGGGGGCTGGAAAGGACTTCATTTTACAAACAAGGAAACTGCAACAAAAAGAAGGAACTTACCCCAGGTCACAATAGTGGTAAGTAGAAGATTGAATTCAGGGCTCATGCCTCCAAAATTCAGTGCTCTTCCCACTAAAAATCCAATCCTTCCACTACCACGTGTGGCGTTGCTGAATTCCTTTGTTGATGCAGGTTGTTTACAACACAGATGCATTTTGTTGATCATACAATGGGCATACAGTAATCCGCTGCATAACATTCCCAGTGGATATTATATTACATGACAAGTGGTTATTTTTACTTGAAGATTTTCAGTGATGGGGAACTCATTACCCTATGAGACAGCCCATTCTATTTCTGAACAGCCTTAATTATTATGTAGATTTTCTTTATATTGAGCCTCCACATATTTGTATATTATTTTATCATATATTATATATCTGCTTCCCCACATCTTGCACCCACTGTTCCTGGGTCTGCCCTCTGTAACCAGCTAGAACAAGTCATATCTTCCTCATGTTGTTACTGAGTCATTTCAGACTCTTCATGTTCCCATTTGGGGTTTTCTTGGCAAAGATGCTGAAGTGGTTTGCCATTTCCTTCTCCAGCTCATGTTATATATGAGGAAACTGAGGCAAACAGGGTTAAGTGACTTGCCCAGGGTCACACAGCCAATAAGTGTCTTAGGCTAGATTAGAACTCAGGAAGACTGAACTCTATCCACTGTGCCACCTAGCTGCTCCAGGCAGCTGACTGCTATCTGTGATTTAGCAGATTAAATCATAGGGAGTTGCCTGAGCTTAAGGCTAAATTGTTAGAGATTAAGTGACTCACCCAGAATCCTACAGTTAATAATTGTCAGAAGCAGGATTTCAGTCTAAGTTTTCCTGACTCCAAGCTCAATACTCTCTCACTGGCTCCATAGTCCGGAACACTATGCTTCTCCTAATGCACGCTAAGTATCAGGTTTAGGGACTGCCATATCAAACTATTGGCTTGCAGTCCACTGAAGTCCCCACAACTTTCTTTTTTTTCACACAAACTGTTGCACAGCCATAACTCCTCTCCCTTGTACTTACGCTGCTGATTTTTTAATCTAATTTATCTCCACCAAATTTAATTTCATCAGATTAAAATAATTTTCCTAGCCTGTTTGGGTCTTTTGGGTCCTGCCATACAATGTGATAAATAATAACTCCTCTTCCTACTTTCACATCTGCTAATTTGATAAACCATCTATACCATCATTCAAGCAACTGAAAAAATGTTGAAGGACACAGGTTCAAAGACAGGTCCCTGGGGTACTTTGCTAAAGACCTACCTCTGGGTTCATATCCATCCATTGATCACTATTCTTTGGGTTTGATTATTTAATCAGCTTTGAATCTTCCTAACTGTACCTTTGTCTGTCATACTTCTTCTGTCTTGTTCACAAGGCCTTTGCTAAAGGCCCTATTGAAATCCTTGACTGTCAATGGCATTTCCATGACCCACCAGTCAGAAGAGGATCATAGTGTCATAGAATCCTGAATTTGGGGTTGGAAGGGACCCCAGAGAACATCTCATCCAAGACCCTCCTTCATTCTACAGAAAAGAATATTTCCAAGGGAATAGTGAGGGATAGTGACTTACCCAAAGTCACACAGAAAGTCAGTGACAAAGTCAGGACTGGTGTCTGGTTCTATCAATTCTCATATATTGATATGCCATCTCCCCTCTATTTAATTATTTTGCTGACACAGCTGCCTATCCTGTTTTATTAATTGATGCCATTACATCTTCCCTGTGGAGCAATTTAGTAAAACGATCTCTGGGATGAGAGTCTAAAACAATTGGGCTCTCTTCTTGACCCTATCACTGTCTGGTCACTATATGACAATTGACAAATCAATTTCCTCCCTAGGCCTCATTTTTTTAATCTCTAAAATGGTGGTAATAATTTCTGCCCTAGGCTAGGCCTCTGGACCTGGAGTCAGGAAGATCTGTGTTCATATCTAGCCTCAGAAGGTTCCTAGCTGTGTGACCCCAACCAGGCTACTTAAATCTATGCTTGTCACTTTTCCAATCTGTAAAATGGGAGATAAGAAGATCCCAGGAATATTGTAAAAATAAAATAGGATAATAGTTATTTGAGTAATACGAGCAAAGTAACATGAATCAAGTGTCTTGCAATTTTAAAGTGATGTATAAATACTAGCTATTTATTTAGTAGCTTGTCAAAATCAGAGAGATAATAGATTTAAAAGCACTGCGAAAAGTATAAAAGTACCAGTCAAATGTGAAGTGTAACTAATGTAATGGCCTTACCATCCCTTTGTTGACAGGACTGCCTGCAATTTTGTGATTCTAACTCCCCTGGAATTCCACAGTCCAGTAGAAACTTGAAAAATATGGAATGTCTCATGAATTTGGGTGTCATCCTTGCACAGGGGCCATGCAAATCTTCCATGTATATGTGTTGCCAACGTGAGCACAAAGGAGTGTGGGGGGTCTTCAAGGAGGATGAGTATCTCTGGTGTGAGGACTTGCTGAGCTCTTTTCAGAGTTGCTCGTCCACCCTTGGTGTCCACCCGGCACCCAACTCTAACCTGTGACTCCAAGAAGCTGTAGCAAGCACAGCGGCCACACCCCAGTAAAACCATCTCAGCCGATGAGCTAAACAAGGTGAGGGTAACCAATAGGCCTCAAACCCATTGCTGAGTTAGGGGGTGTTTACCTCAAGCACAAGACTTCCCCCCAGCGGAATGGGCAGATGAGAACCATTTGTTCCAATGGCCATGAAGGCGGCTAAAGAAGAGCTTGGTCAGACATCCAAGACGCCAAGGTTCCATTGCATCCCTAGCCAAAGGCATCTTGACTTTTGTCCTGCCGCTAGACTTCTGTGACTCTGGAAAAAAGAGTGAGGCCGATGACTTTGTGCAGCTCTGCCTCACTTAAATCCAATTCACTTGCAAGTCCACAATACCCCTTGATGTCATTAGTCCTCTTGGAAAACGAAGGACAAATGACAACAGAAGCTTGAAGAAGAAAATCTTAAAGTTCCCTCCCTGACAGTCTTTATTTAGCTACTACCTCAAGCCCTTGAAATCCTAAGATTTAAATCCCTCCCCAGCCTAAAGGAAGACATTTTCCACTTGGAGAGACAACCAGGAGAGAGACAGAAAGACAGAGAGAAAGAGAGGAGAGAGAGAGAGAGAGAGAGAGAGAGAGAGAGAGAGAGAGAGAGAGTCTCTCTGCTTAAGCCAGAGATTTCAGGAACTGTTTAAATGAGAGGAAGGCTCAGATGCAGAAAGAGGACAGATATCCAGATGTAGTAGGAACTTTTTTTGAGGGGCAGGCATGAGAAAAAGAAAAAAAAAAGAAGAGGGAGAAAGCAAAGACTTTATTTAGTCAGAGAAAAGAGCAAGGGAGGGCCAATGGGGAATTTCCCTACCTATCTTTCAAGGCTTAGCTCATCTCCCACTTCTCATTACTTTCAGCCTCCCTTCTCCAAACTTCCGAAGACTTCCCAGCTGCATGGCCTAACCATTGAGCCTCTTTTGTCCAGCATCCTCTCTTGCATCCTCAAAGCAAGTATTGCCCGCCTTCCAAGACTCTCAGAGGGCAATGCTCTCAGTTCCCTTCCTTCTGTTTCCTTCTGGTTGCTGTGAGCTCAGGGCCTTAAGTGGGGAGGGGAAGGGAGAGAGGCTCTGCTCAGATTGGTGAGATGTATGGGGGCTGTGCACACCTTCATGAAGTCTCAGGACAGAGGGAAAGAATGGAGATATTACAGGGAAAGAGTTAGAAGGACCTTTGTTGTTTCAGATGAAAACTCTAGGAGGCATTTATTGTTGGTGACTGAAAGTTAGATAGAAGCATAGATAAATAGAAGTGAGAGATCTAAGGAAAGATAAAAAGAAACATTCAAAGAAAAGTGGAGAGGCAGAGGAACTGGGAATATAAAGAGGAGGGGGGAGGGAGGTGCTGAAGTCTCCAGTCTTTGCCTTCTGATGCTGAATTAATGACTCTAGCTTATTCTGGGCAACTCTGGATGGTGGGGTGCCTAGGTAGGCCCTACTCCCCCTTCCTACTCATGGAAGTACTCATTCTACCTAGCTCTCTTCCCTTCCTTCCCCTCTCCTCCGCCCCCCACTCATCCTGCCTGGCCATACCCCAGGAGTGATTCACAGTCTGGCCAGCCCATCCAAATTGATTAATTATTGGAAACCGATTCCTTCAGACCAGCCTGGTAGCCTCCGGGGCATGCCGAGCCTGGCCAGGAAACCGCAGAGAGGGAGGCCTCTCCTTTCCTTCCTCCCGACTAATGAATTGGGATTTGATCCATCTAACCACAAATGTGGAGGGGCAAGCAGGCATTAGCCTAGCTGTACCCCAGAGCCTGCTAGGGAAGGAAACAGGAGGAAAGAAGCTCAGGCTTAGGAACTGGGACCCCTGGGTTCTAACCCTATTTATAACTCATTTTAATGTGTGACCTTGGGCAAAATAATTTATTGTTTCCATCTGAGCCTCAGTTTCCCTTCAATATCCTATCTTGGGGAGGGGGGATTATCTAGAAATACAAACTCTGGTTACACAAGACAAAATGGAACTAGGGGGATAGGCCTGGGGTTCATAGTGGCCAGGACTCATTCCAGAGCCTAGCATTGCCAGCCAGGAACTGGGATATGAGAGCCACCAAATCTTAGAATCACAGAATTTTAGAATCTTAACATCATGGAGTCTCAGAATACTAAAATCTTAGAAGAGCCACAACTGAGGATATTTTCAGCTGTGGTAGAAACAGTTTGCAACTTGTCCAAGGTGCTTAGCACAGTGCCTGGCATATAGTAGGTGCTTAATAAATGTTTATTGAGTTGAATTATTATTCAATTGAATAGCATTTAAACCCAAATCTTCTGAGTTGCCTGGGCTTTATGTCTTCCTTATTATGTGCTTCACTACCAGTCTATTCCATGTACGCCCATTCTCTGCACTGGTTAAATGACTTGCCCAGGGTCATACAACTAGTAAGTGTTATGTGTCGCCACCTAGCTGCCCCTGGAAGAAAGCCTTTTAAGAGGGTCACCAGGGTAACCTGACGGGGGAGGAGGAGGGAATGGATAGGTGCTAGTGGCTGCACCATATGGTGGCAAAAGCAGGTGAAGGCCATGAGTGAAGGCATGGGGATAATGGTCACCTACAGTACAACTTCCCCAAAGAAAGAAGGGTGGCCCCCATATGTGAGCACCCTAACATACTTATATAGGGCTAGTTTCACTTTTAGTCACAGAACCTTAGAATTACAGAATCATGGATTTGGAAGAGATAGAGACCATTTCATCTGCTTGAACCACATGAAACTCATTTGTAACAATCCTGTGAGAATTGGAAACTGAGGAGACACCCATCAATTGGAGAGTGACTGAACAAGTTATAGTATATGTGTGTGATGGAAAAAATACTATTCTACTGTAAGAAATGATGAAAGACATGGTTTTAGAGAAACATAGGGAGACTTGTATGAACTGATGCAAAGTGAGGTGAAGAAAACTAGAACAATTTATAGACACAGATAATATTGTAAAGTCAAACAACTTTGAAAGACTTAGGAACTCTGATCAATACAATGACCAACCACAATTACAGAGGACTTAAAATTAAAACATACTACCCACCTCCTGATGGAGAGGTGAACTTGAAATACAGCTTGAGACACATTTGCAGGGGTGGGGTTGGGAGGAGATGGAATGACAAATGTGGAAATTTGTTTGCTTGACTATACATGTTTAGAAAGGGGTTTTGTTTTTCATGCTTTTTCAGTTTGGGGGGTAGGAAGGTGGGATAGAAAGAATTCATATCTGAAAATAAAATAAAATTTAATTTAAAAAAGAAAAAAAATACCACCCTGCCCCTGCCCATCAAGACCTCCTTCCACTGTATATCTATACTGCAAAAAACATGAATAAAAGGCTATCTTCATCACCACCCTGTCCAGGCTATCACCCTGACCTAAACCCCATCCTCTCATCCAGTGCCCTCAGGGTTTCTTTCCCTCCTTCTCCTCCATGCCTCCAATTCCTACCCCCCCCCACACACACGGAAACTCCCTATTGTTTCTTTCAGCCTCCACAATCTTAGCTGACCATCCAATGGCAACTTATTTATCCCAAAACTAAACTGTGCTAATGGATGAGGGCAAGAGGAGACACCAATCCCTCCTCCAGGAACACATGGATGCCATCATAGGAGCCTCCGAGAGAAAACAGACCTGCCCTCAGGGTATGATTCTGGGGATTTCTAGTGGGGTAAGAGGTAGGTTGATGGAAAGTTATGGAAGATGAGGTACACAGAGACAGGTTTAACTCCTGGGCTTATTGACTGCCAAGCACTAAAATAAAAATAATTTTAAATGGAGTTGGTTTTTTTTGGCGGGGGGGGGGATTATAATCATACAATCTTAAAATCTCAGAAATAAAGAATCTTGAAATCTCCAAATCTTTGAATGTTTGAGACATAGACTATTAGACTCTTAGAATCTGAAGACTCACCCAATCAGCTCTGGGAGGGGGAACCGAGAGAAGTCGGGGTTTCCTGAGTGAGCACAGTCAGGCCAGCCTCTCTTAACAAGGTGATTGACCGATGACTTTCCCTATGGTTTCAATCTCAAGAAACTGGGGCTGGGGGAGCAGGCAGCTCTTGAAGACAGAATTATAGGGGGAGGGGAAGAAAAAAGATTTTTGCCAAATTAATGAAAAATCAATCTAGTCTCCCAGAGACGTTAATGTGCAATGGGCCCTGGATGGAGAGATAGCATGAAAATCCAATCTGGGAAATGGAAAGAGGCCTGGCCTTGGCAGGGGTGCCTAGAGGTGAGGATGGGGAAGCCAGAGAGGAAGGGGAGGGGGGTCCCCTAGCCTCCTAGAAGGAACGGAAGGATTCCTTCTCATGGGCTGGCCGCCAGCTCTTCCTAATAGGGAGGACTGAAGCATCATATAATTCAGAGACAGAAGAAACTTTCCATAGAGACCATCTTGTCCAAGGCCCTTATTTTACAAAGAAGAAAAATGTAGCTTAGACAGGGGAAAGGAAGGGAGGAAACAAGCATTTATTAAGCACCTACTATATGCCAGGAACTGGGGGCTAAGCGCTTAACAAATATTTCATTTGATCCTCACAACAGCCCTGAGGTAGATGCTGTTATGATCCACATTTTACAGTTGATGAAACTGAGGCAGATAGAGGTTAAGTGACTTGCCCTGGGTTATACAGCAAGTAAATATCTGAGGCTAGATTTGAACTCAGGTCTTCCTGACTCCAATTCCAGTGCTCAAGCTATACCACCTAGCTGCTTAGGAATAGTCTCATCTAAAACCACACAGTAACAAGGCAGGATTCTAACTCCAAATGTAATGCTTTTTTCATTGTAGCATCCTGCCTCTACTTACCCTGAGTGAGTGAAAGGAGCTAAAAGAGATCCATGGCAAACGGGGAAAGGAGTTAGAAGTGG